AAGTCACCCGAGACATCAGTCTCTCTCTAACCTCATCTTCTTGGAGGGCCATGTGTGAGGTTGTTGGTTGTGCCTAGACCAGGAGTTTAACCGCTGATCTTCAATGCGGTCAGCCGATCCGATGTGAGCTCTCACTAGTCTTTCTGAGCAAAAAGGAAATACTGCCTGTGTTTTTAATGTATTTTTTGTCCATTTTGTGAATTATACATTTGAGGTCAACTTCCACATTTTATGAGTGGCTGTATTTATCAAATTCCCTTTACTAAAAAGTCTATTCACTCGGAGCATATAGTTATTTGGTGTAACATCAGGAGGGCAGTAAAGAGCTGGATGGAAATAGAGAATAAAGTTAGCAGGCACGCTGTTAAATATCAGTCCCGGTAGATATATGAGGACAAAACTTAAAACTGACGTCACTTTTACAAATGCTAATGTCACATTTAGATTATTTTCTGCATGTCTTTTTTAAGATTTTTTTCTTTTTCAACGTTACTAAACGACCAAAGTTAATCAGTATGACTGACATCAGAAAGCGTCACGAAATCTATTGTAATAAAGATTTCAAACGTCTAAAAATACATTCTTACTCTTGGGGTGCAGTTACAGGATGTGGCCACAGAAGGGCAGCACACACCAGGCGGAGACCAGCTAAAGTTAGCAGCTACGCTAGCACTCACTTCCGGTGACCGTCTGAACGTGAATCTTAATGAAATGAGATATTCGTGTTTTTAATGTAATATATATCCGACTAAAATCTTCAGAACTGCTGTTTCTGTAAGTTATTGTCGGTGTATTTATGTTTCTAACGACGTGGCTGAACGTGAGACTGTTCAGCCTCATTGAACCAATCAGAACACGATCTTTCTGTCAGGCAACAGAGATCAGACGACGGCAAAGACGTAAAGTGGGTCCAGCTCCAAACCTGGGAAACCTTTAACCATCGACCCTGACAGCGTTTGCTGTATTTTTTAGTTTAATTTATTACTGGAATCGTTGTTGTTCCGTTGTGTCTGAAACGGAGAAAAGCGGGTTGGAGTTTGTTGTATTGAGTTCAGCTGATCTCGTTCAGCCTTCACACTGTGAACGGGGATGTTCCTCTGGTGGCCACGGATGGAACTACAGTGTAAAGCTGGAGGTTGGAAAATAGGCGTTGACTTCCTGTTACCCTTTCAAAGTAAACCGGATGTAACGTTTCTGCATTTAACAAACATTAAAGTAAACCTTTATAAAAATAAAAAAAAAACACTCATGACTAACTGAATGGAAACCCAGTGCTGACCCTGATAAAACACAGCTGTTTAACGTCTTAAATCGCATCAGGAATCTTCTAGTGAACGCGAGGCTGCCGTTAGCGCTAGCTAGCAGCTAGCTAGCTCCGCTTCGGTTTGGTAAAAACAAAAAAAAATCAGTTTAAAATGTAGAAATGTGGTGGTTAAACGTGGCTTCCCGTGACAACTTGTGCAGAGATTTCAGCTGGTTCTGCTCATCAAACCACGGCTCGGTGAAACACGGGTTAATGCAGCTCTGCAGTTTGGCCGCTGGAGGGCAGCCGGAAACGGTGCCTTGAGTTTGATTGTGGACAGAGAAGAAGAGTTAACTAGCTTCTTTGGAACCTTAAACACGGTAAATGATGAAATGCTGGACGGTAACGTAATGACTAGTTTGGTGTGTGCAGGGCTTTGGCTGCCTCCATGTTAGACTGTAACCAGACTCCATGTGTCTTAGGGGAAACTGTCGGAAATCTGCCCTCATGTTGGTCCTGTTTATGATGATAAAACCTCGTTTCATCTGAATTCAGCCGTTTCAGCCTAAGGGGATTTACTGGGTGTAGTTCCAGCCTGTGGCCACCGGGGGGCAGCACTGAGGACAGAACTTCAAATTTACGTCACTTTTACGTTAGCAAATTTAACATTTAGGTTATTTTCTGTCTTTTTTAGGATTTCTTTCCTTTTTTAACGTTAATGAACTTCCAAAGTTGATGACTGACATTAGAAAACATCATGAAATCTCATTTAATAAAGATTTCAAAAATCCATTCTAACTCTGGGGGTGCAGTTACAGCTCAATAAAGCTCAAAGTCCTGAACTAGCTCAATGAGACAGAAAAGTGTTTAGTGTTTGGTGAGGTCCATTTTCTGTGATTGTTGTTTGTTTTCTGGGAGCGTCCAGCGCGTGGGACTCCGTGGGTCCTCGTGCTGGTGGTGCGGTTCCTCCTCTGGCCGCCAGGGGGCAGCAGACGGCATGCAATCAGCAGCTGATGGGCTTCAGGTGTGGCTGCAGAGCAGGTGAGCAGATTAGTGGGCGGGACCGTGGCTGACGGAGGGAATAAGAACGTTTGGGGGCGCGTGAGCTGCGTTTGCCTGCGTTTAAGGTGAGTCTGACTAAAAGCTGTCCTGCTGCTGTCCAAAGGTCTTACAGGCCGGTTCCAGACTGAGGGCTGGGGTCCCACACCTGAGGCCAGGTGGAGCTCCAGTGGGATCTTTCCAGTCCTGTGAGGCCCAGAGCTGCTTAGGTAACCCGGTTTGTTCCACACCTGCACAGTCGGCTCCTTTCTGTTGGGCTTGAAAGTGTCTTTGGTTTTAGATTCTGATGCACACTAACCTGAACATCCTCCCCACTCGTTCACCAGGAACAGAAGAAGCTGCTGTTAATCAGGTTTGCCAGTTTGAACAGGTAAGAATGAACATGCGCAACAGCAACAACTCAACGACAACCTGCACATTTCTTTTTTTGTAATTTTTTTTTTTGTAGCGAATCTAATGTTTTTGTCTTTCTGTTCCAGCGTCTGGGCCTAAACAGAAGTTTCAAGCCATCTGAGCGGATCTGATGCTTTACCAGCAGAATTTACTCTTCGAAAATTACTTTTTTTAAAGTGAACTTCTAGACGACCTTTATTTTGAAAGGATTAAACGGAAGTGTAGTGTAATTGCAATTCGGTTGGCTTTATGAACTCGTTCGGTTTAGTTCGCTACCAACGTCAAATTAACTAAATTACAGCCAAAGAACCACATTTATCTTAACATTGAGTAGTGTTGCAATTAATTAAATTGATATTTTTATTAATCAATAAATGGCCATTTATATAGCCTAATTGCTCAAAGTTTTCAGCGTTCTGATTCAGGCTTGTAGTTTGAGCATGTGGCCACAGGAGGGCAGCACGTGAGCGGAAGCTAAAGTTGGTATGTTTATCTAGGATTGGGGCCACATTTGGAAAACCTTTTGTTTCTAATTTTTTTTACAGTATTTGGTTTGGATGTCTTTTTGGTAAGTATTTGTCCCTCCTTGAATACTCATGACAAGGAACAGAAGAAGCTGGTGTTTCTAAAACTTGTTTTGCCAGTTTAAAGTTGGAATAAACATGTGCAACAGCAACAACTCAATGAGAACCCACAATTTGGGTTTAGATTTTTCTTTTTGATAAGAATTCATCCACACACTTTAATAATCTGACCACCTGCAAATGTTTTATTGTATTTTGTCTTTTCCAGGTAATGTAAAGCTGTTTGGTGCTCGTTCCAGTCGGTGGTTCAGTCTCTGCTTTGGATGGTCAGCTGGTTCTAACGGTGTTGGTCCTGGTTCTGTGGATTCTGCTGCCACTGGAGGTCAGAAGGTCTCTGATAGCTGTTAAAAATGGCTTTATTGCACCTTTTCTCCAACCAGTGGCTGTTCTGTTGCGGTTCCAGAGTTTTCCAGACTGAGGATGCTGCTGTTACTGAGCAGTTTCCATTTGCTTCCTCTGGACCAGAAGCTCCACTTAATGTCAGCAGATGTACAAACTGCTCTGACTTGTTGTTGGACTGGAGGAAATGTTCCCTCAGACATGAGTTTTTAAATGGCTGATTTTCTGTTGAATAAAGAGTTTGAAAGTATCTTTGTTTCATGAGTCTTTAACATTGTGACTTTGACAACTTAGCTTGAACAAAGTCAAGCCTGATTAAATGAGTCCATCAGTATAAGATGGAACTAGTTAGTGTTTAAGTTTTCCAGGTCAGGATGCTGGTTTCAAATCAATATTTACCTGAGACAACAGGAAGGAATTAAATATTTGGTTGGATAAAGTTGCATAATCAAGTCTTTTATAATATAAAGATATTCCTTTTTAATTGACCATCTCCCCTAAATTTTATAAGTATTTTTGCCTTTTGGCTGTCTCTGTAGCAGCAGGCCGGCCTGTACTGCCCCCCTGTCCATGCCCCCCTATGGTGCCCCTCCCAGGCTCGGGGAGGCCAGAGAACCCCTCCCTGAGCTTGTCCACTGCTTGTACCGTGTGGGATTCGAACCGGGGACCTTCTGCTTGCTGGCATTTATTTGCCATCGACACTCCCATCACGCCACCGAGTGGCTTCACACTAGGGTAAGATTTTTGGTAATTTTGTCTTTGAGTTTCGGCCCAGACACTTAGAAAAAAAAAAATGGTTGTGTCCTCCAGGGTTCGATCCCACGGCCTCAGGGCCCACAGCCTCTCACCCTCCCCCCTGAGCCACTGCTACTGGGCTGGGGTCCGGATCAGGATCACTTTGATCTTCCAGCCCCCTGAAACACTCAGTATATTTTTTACCTTCTGGCTCTGCACAATTAAACCACCTTAGTTTAATTAAACCGCCCACTGAAGACTAGAAAACTTCACCAGCCTCCAATAAATATGAAGACAGGGAAATATCTGGTACTTGAACCCACAACCTGTGAGGTTCAAGGCATTCTCCCAACAGTCTGAGCTATTGTTCCAGACAATTTGGTCTGTTCTCCGGGCGGTTTTGTCTTCATAATTGACCTCTACAAAAACAGAATTTAATCATGAATTCAGCCAACTAAACAAATGTGGGACTTGAACCCACGACCTTTGAGGCTCAAAGCATTCTCGCAAAAGTCAGAACTATTCTTCTGGACATACTTATAGGTTCTCTGGGAGCTTTTGTCTTGATATCTGAGCTTTTAATTCTAGAAAACATCACCATCCACCCACAGATTTACTACAGCGTGAAAACTCTTAGACTTGAACTCACAACCTGTGGAGCTCACAGCTGTCTCCCAACAATCTGAGCTATTCTTCAAGGCAATTTAGACAGTTCTCCGGGCGGTTTTGTCTTCATATTTTAGCTTTTTAATTCTAGAAAACGTTAGCATCCACCAATAAACTTTCATAGCGTTAACTATCTGGGATTTGAACCCACAACTTGTGGAGTTCAAAGCTTTCTCCTTACAGTCAGAGCTATTCTTCCAGACGTATTTAGCTTTTGTCTTCATATTTGAGCTGTGGAATACAGAATTTACTCATAAACCTCCCCTCCCCACACACACGTCATGTAGATCCAAAAAGAGTCGGAACCTTTCATTTCAGTTTTACCTTTCAGTTTAAGAGAAGACTTCCCAGCCTGTAGCACCTTGAGCTCTCAGTGTTACGTCATTCTGGAGTTTTTCTGCTCTGAAACATGCAGCCTGGAACAAACAATTAGCCCAAAGTACAACAGATAAATCAGGAGGACGGTCTTTCTCCACTTCTCTTCCCCAAACGGCTGATGATCGAGGCCCTGAGGGGCTCCGGGTCCTGGAGGACGGACCTCCGGAGCTGGGAGGATCCCTGAATACCACTTTGCCAACAACGGGACAGAGAAACTTTTTGTTTTAGTCATATTTATAGACATCGTTATATTCAAACTGTGTATGTACAAGAGGTCACCTGAGACATCAGTGTCGCTCTAACCTCATCCTCTTGGAGGGCCATGTGTGAGGTTCCAAGCTGTGCACGGTCTAGGAATTGAACCATCGCTCTTCAATGCTAAGGGGAACACCGATACCACTCTGCCAACAACCTCACAGAGGATTTGTTTGTTTTAGTCATATTTATAGACATCGTTATATTCAAACTGTGTATGTACAAAAGGTCAGCCAAGACATACATACATAACAGACCAAAAGTTTACTTGCATACAT